TTGTATTAATATAAATTCAATCGATAATTATCGATTTCTAGATATGTAACGATATATTTCTATTTTCGATATATATCGATTCTTTGTTATATACCGATATATAACCTATTTTATTGATATATAACATTATTTTCTAATTGATATATATCAATTTACTGCAATATATCGATATGTATCTATATAAAAAATTTTCTGATATTATACATGAATAACATCTATAAAATCCAATTTGTTTAATAATGTGTTTATATAACTTGTGAAAAGAAGAACACAAACTTCACAACAGGAGTTCAAGAACTAAACTATACAACCTTAGTATCCTCATATACCTAGAGTTGTTGCCTCTTTCAAGCAAGCCTTTGTTTCCTCTCTATTAAGTCATTACAGATGCAATACTAATCTTTAGTAATCCAGTGGCTATAGTCTTCATACTATAACACCACATCTCTTGGATCATTTTAGAGAGGTTGATTCAAGTGTGACAACAAAATCAACTGTGTGTAAATATCAAGCTCATTTTTACTAATCTATCTTTGTCAATATCAAAAATATCATCAATTTTAAGTAGAATTGATATACTAAGTGAAATAGTTTTTATTTTAATTGCAATTTCAAAAGTACAATATATAATAAAGCCTATTACAAAATGATTAATTGATTATGCAAGGTTATTCTTTAAAAGCTGCAAAGTTTATAAAAGTTCCAAATAGTAGTATTAAACAGAAAAATTATTTAAAGAAATTGAATAAATATTCGTAAAAAAGAAAATTAATTCGAAAAAAAAATTTAACTTATAAAAAAAAAAAATTAATTTGATTAATTTGATGTGATGCTTACCGACGCGTAATGACTATATTTTTTAATCTCATGAATTATGCCGCCCAATGAGTGACAAAATTATAGCAGTACCTGTAAAAAAAAGAGCATTCTCTGTTACGCTTCCGACAATTATTACTAGGAACTGGAACCGTTGTAAGTTTCGTATGTTTTGATGGTAGATCACATGATCGAAGTGAAGGGAACGTGTAAATAACATACGTAACGATGTAACAATATATGTTTAACGACACAAAATAATGTGCGATCAGAAAATCAGAAGGATGAATGTGAAATATTTAAGCTAAAGCAGCACTGAACACGAAATCCTTTGCTTGATTCACCCACTTGCACCAAGAATGATGACTATTGCATTGCGATTCAATATTTTCTCTACTTATAGCCTGTCTGCTTCGGTAGACGGGAAACGTACAATGCAATTTCTATTGAAACATCTTGGGATGTTCGGTCGGATTCCTGTGTTTTTATTATGTACTATGCTAATGAAATGTTTTAAAAAACTGTTCAGCCTAAATAACCTGCCAGCATAGCCCAAAGTAATACTGTAATTAAACTGTAAGTGCATCAAAATGGCAATAGATGGCATCAAAAACGAACTTTTTGTATCATTTATTTCACAGCATTCTCCGTGCAATTGATAATATTATTATTGAAAAGTATGATAAAACCACCAAAAAAGCATTAAAAAATTTTGATATTATCATCTTAACGATCTTTTTCTCAAAGTACCAAAATTAACGAGTTAATATTGCGTTGAATAGGAAATTTATTTATTGCTGCCCCAATTTCATAAACTATTGTTATTTCAACAATTTGAACCGAAAAGCAATTAGAGTTCATATTGGACTCAAAAAAAGTAAGAATCTTTGAGCTACAGTATCGAACAAGAACAAGCCTAACAAAATAGCGTGCGATACTTAAAAGAACCAGTAAACTTTTTGATCTTATTGAGAATTGTTTATTCTACAGGTAAAGTGACAACTATAATAATAGATTTCACAGAATCGAGACTTAAATTCTACTGTATAATAATTTTTATTGTGCATATAAATCTTTAAAAATTGCATACTAAAAGCAATAATCAAGATCAATTATTTTGTTGTTTGATTTGGTAAATAATACATGGTCACACTAATATCGCTCCCTTCAAATGCGTTAGAAACACTTTCATGAACAAAATCAAGCCTTAATCGATCCAAACCTGCTCCAATACGAGGAAGACTCAAACCGGTAACTTCAAATTGTTCACATAACTTTCTCAATTCAAACAAAGATTTTTTAAAGTCTTCTTCAGTTGGTTTGTCCCAAGCAGAAAGTTTGGTGATTAAATAAAAAATGTAACGATTTTCATGACAAAGATAAGCGACTTCGCCAACTTTTTTATTTTGCTTTTTGAGTTCAGCGACACCATTGAACTTATCTTTGAAACTTTTAGCAATACCCTTGCCCATACGAAGATCTTGTGAAACGCAATGAGCTAAAGCATCGGTTGGATTTGAGTTTTCGAATAGATCACCTGGAATTTCTCTAAAAGGCATTTTTTTTCAGCAGCTCTTGTATAATTTTGTCCTATATAATAAATACTATACTAATAAAAATAGATATATTAAATAACGTCTCTTGACATAAAAGTTCAAAAACCCTTACAATTTTAAATTTTATCAAACGACAGTAGGTTTTTTATTTGGAAGAAAGGACAATCAGATCAAAATTTTATGAGTAATTTGTGCTTTTATATACATGTTTACATCACATGGAAAATGCATATTTAGTAACACCAACCGTACAGTAAAGTTGACTACGTACGTACGTACTAGGGTGGTAACTCAACTAAGTAAATCAAAATTATATCAGCAATACTACCGTAAATCGCCATATACAAGACCCTGCGTGACAAATAATGTAGATCAATTTTTAAAATAGTATTTATACAT